GGGGGTGGAGCATTGATGAACCACCATCGTCTCCGGGGTTTTGCTCTGTTTTTCCGTTCTCCGGGTTATTTCCAGGAGACCCTCTGAAGGCTAGGAGTTTCAGGTGCTTGAAATGCGTGAATCAAGAAGGAGTGGCACAATTAGGAGTGATTCTTGGGGAAAACCATTGGAAACAAGTCTTTTGTCTGTTTGCGTTGTTTAGACTCCCAATTATACACTCTACGCTATCCCATCAATTATGCAACTCTGTGCACTCACTGCTTATGCTGAACATGCACTCTCCAGAAACTCTGTTGTTGTTGTTGTTGTTGTTGTTGTTGTTGTTGTTGTTGTTGTTGTTGTTGTTGTTGTTGTTGTTGTTGTTGTTGTTGTTGTTGTTGTTGTTGTTGTTGTTGTTGTTGTTGTTGTTGTTCTTGTTGTTCTTGTTGTTCTTGTTGTTCTTGTTGTTTGTTGTTCTTGTTGTTCTTGTTGTTCTTGTTGTTCTTGTTGTTCTTGTTGTTGTTGTTGTTGTTGTTGTTGTTGTTGTTCTTGTTGTTCTTGTTGTTGTTGTTGTTGTTGTTGTTGTTGTTGTTGTTGTTGTTGTTGTTGTTGTTGTTGTTGTTGTTGTTGTTGTTGTTGTTGTTGTTGTTGTTGTTCTTGTTCTTGTTCTTGTTCTTGTTGTTGTTGTTGTTCTTGTTCTTGTTCTTGTTCTTGTTGTTGTTGTTGTTGTTGTTGTTGTTGTTGTTGTTGTTGTTGTTGTTGTTGTTGTTGTTGTTGTTGTTGCTGTTGTTGTTGTTGTTGTTGTTGTTGTTGTTGTTGTTGTTGTTGTTGTTGTTGTTGTTGTTGTTGTTGTTGTTGTTGTTGTTGTTGTTGTTGTTGTTGTTGTTGTTGTTGTTGTTGTTGTTGTTGTTGTTGTTGTTGTTTTGCAAAAGAAGCAATGCGTGTGTGTGTGTGATTTTTGTTGTGTGTGTTTTGCGCGCTGAGTTTCGGGTGTGGTGTTTCCGGCTTTGCCAAGTTGTCACCCAAAGGCACAAATTCTGAATCATTTGGAACTCTGGAAACTTCTGGATTCTGAATAATTGGTTCTGATTCATGTGAACGATTCTGATTCTAAATAGTACTGAATTGGAGGGCTCCTTCCGTCAAGTATTTGCAACACAAATCATCGCGATTTGCAGGGGTTTCAGGTGTGCAAACCAATTTTCATAATTGACAATCAACTTCCAGGAGGTTTTATCTCAAAAACGAACAGTTTGGTTTGACAACTCCGTGTTGTTGTCTTTTTTCTCTGAGACTCTTAAACAAGTGGTACTCTCCGGATTGGACGTTAAATTTTCATGTTTTGGAAGATCCAGACAGTTGATTTTTTTGGCGGGGGGGCCCTCCAAAAGTATCCCCACTTCAAGGAGGACAAAAATCCGCCGGATGAATCAAAAAGGGCCTAGACCCCGCAATTGCCATTGCACTCGTGCCAAGTCCCAAGTTTTCAGAACCCCCATTCAACCCGTCTGCCCGTTTCAGGACCTTAGGGGTCCTTTTCAGGTTAGTTTGGTTAAAAATAGATTGGTTCCACTGGTTTAGATGGGGTTTATTCCACTTCCCAGCGCCATGTTTTTTTTAAGGCTACCTACTGTGGGTGGACGAAATCCTGCACCACCTAAGAAGTCCTAGAATGACGATTCCCCTGCCTATACCAACAAACAAATGGTTTCCCATGGCTTCAAAGTGGTGCAGGATTTCGTCCATCCACAGTATGTTCAGGACCTTTCCGGCACGGTGCGCCGTTGCAGCGCCCCGCTGCCTGCGGATCTGTTGCAGGCGCTCCGCGAGCTGACGCCCGCAAGGGAAGCGCAGGAGAGACGCGACCGCCACCGACGGGGGGTGGGCGAAGGGACCACGTTCGGGGGTTGTCTTCTGTGAAAGGAGTTGGTCAAAAAGGGAAACCAAGTTGAAAACCAAGGTTTTAGGGGAGCGAAAAGTGAAAGACAAACAGTCTTTGTGACGGGACTCGGGGGGGGGGGGGACAGGTTTGCATTAATCCATGGCGTTTGGGACCCCTCAATCAACTTGGTGGATAACTGGGGTGTTTTCCCGAAAAATACAGGACACATCGTCCAGAAAGTTCTCAATCATGGGTCTCAGCGAATCATGGTTATGCCGCAATGCCTATTACTGGGGCAACTTGGGCTACGATTCACCCCCCGCAACGTAGGCCAAACTGCCAACAAGCGGAGTGCACGGGGCGGAACACTCAGAAGTTCAAGCATATTTGATGCCCTGCTGGGCGGATCTCGTCCCCTGAAACTCCCTTGTCGTTGGATTCGCACTTTGAAAAGTCATCCCCCCCGAAAAGGTTCTCACTCGGCAACTGGGACGGCTCAGCAGCACTTGGTCTCTCTGGAGTTTCAAGTGGAGCTGATTCCTTGGTGTTTCTTCCAACAACAAGTTTGGGGATTTTTGTTTTGGGGCTTGTAGAAGGAACCTAAAAAGCAAACAACATAAACTTTGTATCTTGGGGGGGCGCCCCCGATTTTTGCAAGCACAAGAAATGGGGACCATTTCGATTGTGATGGGACCCCCATGCCCCTCACTCTCGCCGACCCCTCCAAATTGAGACCTCAAACGCCTACGTCTCTACTGAAATGGTATCAAAAAGAAAGCGACGCCCTCTTAGACCCCTACCTCAAACCATCCCACAGTGCGGAGAGGCCAGGTTTGGGTCTGCGACTGCCCTGTCCAGGAGGTATGGCAGTCCTTACTGACTGGTTGGCTGCCGAGTGTTTGAGCCGATGGGTTTGCTTCGCCGAAAGCAAGCACGTTGATGCGCGAGTCAGATCACGGATTGTCAGAGAACACTGGGGTCGTGGCCTTCACTGAAGGCTTCGTGACAAGCTTAAGCTTAGGCTCAAGGATCCACACCTCCAGGTTTCCATTTGTTGCCATGTCCGAAGAGTTCTTGGCTGCTCAGCTTCTGACACTCCAACTCAATTGTCTCCATGTCACACGCGCAAACTCAGAGAGTTGCTTCACTGAGTGAAGTGGCAACGGCTCGCCCATCAAAGCCTGGGCAGTTGAAGGGGGACAGTCCCAACTGGGCGCGACCGCCCTTTGAGTCTTTGTGGTTTTGGGTAGTTAGGCTCATTGAATGCCAGGCTTTGATTATGACTCAACTGGTCAGCGCCAGTGGCAAAAAGGGCTGCCATTGAGGGTGCTTAGGAAGCAAAGGTCAAGCATGGTTCAAAAGGGAGAGACTCCCCGGAAACTGCATGCGCCTTCACAAGGTAAGGACTGCACCCTCTTCATTGTGTCATTGTGTTGCGTGGTACGCAGGTCTGTACATGATTCCACCAGATCGGGCCTCTTTGTTGGCTAGGTTGCCATAGTTTCAGCTATGGTTACTGGTTGATTACCCTGTTCGCAAGGGCAATTTTGCACGTGTGGGTATTTGTAATATATATATATATATATATATAGATGTGTACACACATACATTTGTTTGCGTAGCCGGTGAACGACATTATTTTGTTGGGTAAACCGGCCCCTGCCAGGGGTGCTTGTCCCCTGGATGACCCTTTCCCTCATAAAGTATCAAACTGCGTTTTCTTCTGTCAGTGCCAAAGAAAGGTTCCCTCTGCCCACCGAATTCTCCGTTTGTGAAACTCGGCCAGGGACCGTCTTGCCCAAAAGTCAACCTTTTGGTGCTTTATTTTTGCTCATGATCAACCCTCTCGGTCCAGCTCAATCCCCTTTTCGGCGCATGAGTCGTTCTTTTTTGGTTTATGTGGTGGTCAAACCTTTTTTGTTTTCTTCCTTTTTTTCTGCCAGCCAGGTTGTTTGGGTTTCTGGGTCCTTCAAAGTGACCTAGCCGACGCATTCGACTTCTTGGTTGACATGTTCAACCACGAGCAGGCAAAACGTGATGCACGGTTTGGTGAGGGTATATGGCTTTTGCTGCATGCTGAAGATCCGGTGTGTGTGTGTGTGTGTGTTTAATATGTGTAAATTTGTCCCAACATGACGTCAAAAGGGGGCGGGCGGTGATTTTTGTGCATGCCTGAAATGAGCTATTTGCCGCATGGATCAGCTTTTAAGTAGTGATTAGCCTTTACCAAGGCCACCCTATGTTGGCCTCCAGTTGGTGACATCGTCAGGCGTAAACTTGTCCTTTGAGGACCTGAGAAAATTCAATCCCTACCCCCCGACTCAGACCCCTTGTAATCATGCGTTTATTTCCTCTCTGTAGTGTCTTTGAGGGCTTGATGTCATTGGGGGGAGAAACACTTTTCAGCAAATGTCCCGAGTTAGGGCTTCCTTTCAGGCCCAGGAATAGCTTGCTGTTTGCTTGGGTCTGCAAAATTTAATCGGGACCTGACTTCGGTGCAAACCAAGAGGAAATTCACCTTCAAGAGGCACCCACCTCATTCCTTCGGTTGGGAAGTGTAGAGAAGGCCGGGTCTATGGCGATGCGCAGGTATGACACCCATCGGCTGGCCATGTGACGTGTACTTGCCCACCGGTTTTTTGGTGGGGGACTGTTGGCGAATGTAGCCCCTGCAAACTCTGGGTTCGCCTCTCAATGGTGAAGGCCCCTGTAAAGTTGGGTTTCGTTTCCTTTGGTTGTCTTTGGGGGTGACTCGTTTTTGAGGGTAATTCCCCAACAGCTGGAAGCTATGGGGTCTCTGCCCACAAGGTGGTGAAGGAGGGTTCCGGGGTGCAAGGGGTTCCCGGGCTGTTGGGGATACCCAGGGCTTATTTTACTTGGTTGTTTGTGGCGTTCAAGGGATAAAAAGCACAAGGAAAGTTACACCGAAACTGGGCGACTGGGGGGGGTTCTCTAAAAGAAGACATGGCCATGGGTCAAAATCCAAATCTACCCCTAGTGAACATCCCAATCCCCACTTTTGACAAAAATGGGTGGTGAATTCACCTACCAACCAAAATATGATCCCATTGGTTTTGACCCACTGCCACATAGCCTTTGGTTCTCATTTTCCCTTCCCCGTGATCTTGGGAGCAATGCTGCCAGGCGCTCCCTCTCCCCGAATTCAGACAGTGGCTTCCTGCCAGGCGACGGAAAGTGGGTTGCCGTCCAACTTTTTGGTGGAAACCCTTGCATCACTTGGGTATGGGTTAAAAATAGGTACCCAAAATGGAACCCTGGTAAATGGAAACAAAGACTAAATCCTGCGGTTTTTTGGTGGGTTAGTTTTGACCCATAATTACCCACTTATCACTTTGGAGCAGGGTGACTAACCCCTGGTCAGTTGACGTGAGGCTAGCAACCATACTGGCACTGTGTTGCTTTGGAGCGGGCTGGTCCCCTGTAGGTGCGTGACACTAGCCTTTGCGCCCTCGTCAGAGTTGGGCACAGCGGCAAGACTACTTGAAAGGACAACTTCCCCTTCAAGAATGCAGCGTAAGCCGGGGTCGATCACCAGGTCAAGATATAGTGTAGGCTCGGAGTGTCGAAGAGTATGGCTGGGAAGTGCCGATGCTTCCAGTTGCCACTATACCAGGTGACCGCAATGTTTGACCCTACGTTTTGCACAGGCCGGGTTACCTACTATGGAAACTGCATGGGTTGGGCTGTGTGGCTACTGCTGGGCAAAAGGTTTAACTTGCTCCCGCATCGCTATGGCTGGTTGAAGTACCGGTCGGGGACCAGCACCCAACCGGAGCAGCAGAAGCAACAAAAAGCCCCAAGCGCGCTCTCAGAGGCAAGGCAGCGAAGAAGGAAATCCCGCGGACCAGTCTCAAGGGTCATTGAGACTCGGGGCGAAGTCCGTGTGCTGGTAAAGGCGGCAAGGCTAAACCACGGGAGTTTAAGTTGCTCTCACAATTTGTGAAGGCAGTTTGATTCATGGAGAAAACGTCATGACACAAGTTTGACCCTTCTCCCAAGGGCACCAAAACGCTGAGACCCCTCCCCCTTTCATTGGAACCAGAAGTAAATAAGTTGATGGGCCCAGGGAATGATCATGGATGTTGGGTGGGGGAACCTCCTGGGGCCCCGGGTTCGGCTGCCAGGCATATCCAACGGTGAGGCGCGAGATGATGGAGACCAGGGGAGCCAAGAATTGATCGGGGCGTGTGGTAAGGTGCAAAATAGCCCATATGTCTTAGTCTGCTCAAAAGGAAGCTAAGAAAGTTGCATCTGATTTAGCACCCAGTTAATAGGGCGTGTTAAGGCGTTTTGTGGGGGTGTTCTTGAACGGGTCAATGACTGTGGGGTGTTCAGTTTTGAGACGTTTAGATAAACTTGGGATTGAGCCCACTTACTCAACTTGTTTATCCAACTCTGACAGCTATTGCGACTGCTACTGCTGCGTACTAGTTCATCTTTTTTCTTCTTCTTCTTCTTCTTCTGTCTCCTCCTTATTCTGCTTCTCCTTATCCTTCTTCCTCCTGTTCCTCTTCTTCTTCCCCTTCTCTTCCTTTTCCTCTTCCTCTTCCTTTATTCTGCTTTGCGCCGCTCCTATTGTTTACACTGGCACTATCAATCGGAACACCATGGATAGAACTACGACAACTACAATTATTCCTGCTTCTATCACAGCGTGACTACGTTATGATTCCCAAGGTCGTAGCGCTGCTAGTGCCTTAACTGCTGCTGCTGCTGCTGCTGCGATGTGCACCTGTGTCTTGCGCATGCTTCATTTGTCTCTCACACAAGTTTGCTTCACACCCTAAGCATGGCATCCCATCTTGCGGTGACTCAAGAGCCCTTTCAAGCATGCTGAGCTGTGACTGGACTCCAGACCCAGACTCGAGACTTCGCCAGGACCGAGCATCAGGGGGCCCAGTCGCCAGTTTGCAGTTGGGTTCCCTACCCTTTGCTTGGCGCAAGGGCATTGGGCTGGTTCTTTTGGCGCTCAGCTCGCTGAGTTGCCAGTCACTCACTTCCTGAGATTGTGGACTTTAATCGTACTTTTTGGGAAGACCATTTAGTGGTAAACAAGCAGTTCGAACCTTTTTTGGGCCCTCTACTCAAGAAGTGAGCCACTGTGTCCCCTGGCCATGTTGGACATCAGGTGTTTTCCTACGCTCAAAAAAAGTCCGCCAAGTTCCCTCTACAGTATTTCGCCCTTTGTTCGGACACTTCTTGGAACAATCGTTACTCTCGAGGGACCCTGGAACTTTTGCTATGAACTCCCTTGCCACAGAAGATATGTAGCAAATCGCATCAGATGCTGAACTCTGCCTTCTTGCTGTTTTCATTTCAGATTGGGGACCATCCCCAACCTTCCATTTGCGGGAGGTCTTAAGGGATCTCAAGGAGGCGTACAGGCCTCCAATCGCCCCGCAGACCGACGTATACGCCGAAAGCCGAAGTGGACGGAGCCTCAGGTCCCGAACCGAACCAAGCATTTCGCATCCGGTGGGCGGGGATCTGTGCCTTTGGCTCTCGAGTTTTCACCCAAAACAGGCCACCTTAAACAGTGATGTACCCAATTCTTGGACTTGGACTGCCTTGCCAAGTTGGATTTTCCAGCTCCCACGAGGATCTGCTAGGGTACCCTCGGCACTTTCCAGTACTCCATTCATTTGGTTTTCGGTTTCCTTGGAGTCTCCATGACTACCCCCCCCTGCCCCCACCCGCTTCTCCACAAAGAAACAGAACAGAGCGGTCCGTACCCCAACATGGCTACATTGCTTCCTGTCAGGGTCATGGAGCTTGAAGGGGTTTGGTGAGCGCTGCTGATTGGGGGCAAGTCATTCACAGAGCTGTCGTCCCATGTCGAATCAGAGAGATGTCGTCCCAGTTAACAAACACCAGCCATTTTAGTGCTACCCGAATCCTGCAGTTGTACAAAGCTCGTCAAACAAGGAGTCGAGTCAAAAACTCGTTGCACCTCGTTAAAAGAAGAAAGAAAACCGAACCCCATGTTAAGACAACATCTCCCTTCCACAGTGGATCCTGCAGCTTCTTGTAGCTCAACCTCAGACCTGGGAGAAAGAAGGGCGGCGCCAGTTCTCTCAAAGCTTTCTAGCTAAATTTGGTTTGGGGGCTGGTGCCCCTCTGTTCAAAGATATGGAAAACGCCAATCCGTTCCTGGTTACATCCCCCCACATACCTGTTTCTTGCGGGATCACTGGTGTTTTCCTTTATACATATGAAAACCGGTGGCTTGTCTTGTGCAATTGGGCCCATGTCTTATGTATGATGGACAACCTGAATGTCCCTCTATTGTTTGTGACACATCCACTTTGAGACCAACCCGTCCGCTTCTCGGTAAGTTTGCTTTTACGTGCTCCCGTCAATCCCGTACACAATCTGGACTCTCCATGAACCTAGCACCTCAAGATTACAGCCAGATCCCAGTTACCAGCAAGCCTTCGCCATATTCCATGTGGTGTTGGGGCGGTTCAATTAGTTCTGGGGAAGTGGAATCATTGGGATACATCGCGGGCCAGTCCGTGTTACGAAGCACATTGGGGTTGGGTGAAATGGGAACGCCACAAAGCTGATCTTTGATTCCGCAACAAGCTTTAGCTTTTGGTAGAACTTGTGCATCCTCACTTCCTGAGTTCCTGGACTTGAATTGCACTTTTTGGGAAGACCATTTTGGTGGCAAATAAATTAGTTTGGATCTTTTTTGGGCCAACCCACTCCGGAAGTGAGTAGCTGAACGCTCTCTGAACGCTCTCTTGACTCATTTTCGCCAAGGCGGTGACTCCTCCACCGCCGTATTCGGCAGTGAATCCGACTCCGGCGATGTCGAGTCCAGCTCCAATGAATTCGGATCTGCAGCAGAGGCGTATCGGCGGTTGGGGGGGTGTCTCTAAACAAGGATTTGGACACCAAAAATGGTTGCTTTGCCTTTGGCTTCCCAAACCAACAAGCTATTCTCAAAAAGACGTTCTGTGCTGCACGAATTATGTCGATGCGGGGGGGAGAGAGCGCCAAAGATGACCAAAGAAAAGCAGCCCATTCTCGGGGCAATCAACTGTTTGTAGAGACCAGGAGATGTATGAGGCTTGGTCAGAAATTCCAGTCTTTGGTCAAGTTTCCAGAGACTTGCAGGACTCTCTCGACTCTGCAGGGCAACCACCAAATCAGGGTGGCGAATAATGCTGTTCCAATGTAGCATTGACTTCTCACATATGCCATGCCATCATGTTGGTCGGTGGCTTTGGTTAGCAAGAAGGGTTTCCCTGTTAAACCCTCTTTTTCAGGTAAGAGAACACGCCCTTCATTTGGGATTCTATCTAGAAAGGGTTCTGACAAGCCAACTCCTTGTGCAGGCTGAAAAGCAAGCCCTGTGCAAGGGTTCGGGCAAACACTGTGCAAAGGTCTGCAGGCAAAGCCAATTTTCCTGCGCAGTGGGTCCGCTTTCTTCACGCACAAGAGATCACACTTGGTTGCGTGTTTGTTCGAGTGGGACAACTTTTGTTTTGAGACGCCAACCCAGCATAGTTTCTTTACCATCACCCCATGAGAAAAGCTCGGTCGAGGTTCCTTCGCGAGGGGTGTTTTTTTTTGTTTTTTTTTTTCTCAGGCGGACAACTGAGATTTGTTTGCTGTTTTTACTTGCCCAACGGATTCCACGTCGTGCACTGCTTGGACACCCCGCCTCGAACCAGCTCCAAAGCTTTGAGCTTGGGGAAAGAGACCCAAGGTCGCCATGAGGGGTTCTTCACGGCAAAGAGGGGGATCAGCAGGTCTTTGGGATCAGCAGGTTTTTCATGTGAGACTCCCTTGTTAGGTGTTTGTTTTCTGTTGAGGCTCACCAAAATGGTTCACCAAAAAGGCAATGTGTTTTGCTTGAGGTCGCCCTTTTGAATCTCACCTTGACAAGGGCTAAGGGGCAAACTACTAGGTTCTATATGTTACTATGACTAAACCTGATTTTACAATACCACCCATAAGAAGTCCTCGAACATATTTTTCGGTTTCCCTTGATCAGGTAGGTTTGTATTGTGTGGTTTGGAACCCATTTGACCCCCTGGCTTTTGTAGAGGATACATGGAAAACCCCTCCTTCACCACCAAACCACCAAACCACCAAACACCGGGGGAAGCTGACTTGAGACATCCCTTTCAACTCTTCCACTGGCTTGGCCCACCGATTGGTTTGGATTGGTTGATGTGAAGCCCTGGCTTTTGTAGAGGTACAATGGGAAACCCCTCAAACCCACCCAACCACCAAACCAACTCTTCCGCTAGCTCCGCTCCGCCCGCCTCGGGTCGTTCGGCTCGCTCGAGGCTAACGGCGCTGGAGCAGCAGGTCCTGGAGCTGCGGAAACCCATGGAGCGGCAGGGGGAGCTGCAGCGCCAGGCGTGCGCCTCCTTCGGATGCCCGACGCATCCGTGCTTCTCCTTGGAGTTTCTTTGCATTTGGCCAAAGGATCTTAGGACTGAAGAACTTTTTGCCAACTAAGGGGGTTTTCCCCATGAAACCACTAAAAGTTTTTCACTTTTAGCCGGGGAGCAGAAAGCAACCGAGTTTTGGTTGGCGTCACAAAAATGGGAAGTGCTTGGGATCCCGATGGCTATGAACATTTTACGGGGCAATTTTACCTCAAAAGTGGTTGGCGGGCATAAATCCCTCACCGAAATGATGTCCACCAAAGGGTCCCCAAGTAAAATCCCTAGCCCTGTGTTGCTTCCATTTGAGGTGAATGTGTGTTTTGTTTGTTTGTTTTTTTTGCCTTGGTGGCTGTGACAGGAATCTATCACCGTCTTCTTTCATTCGACTTACAGTCAGCAAATGGAGGTTTTAGTGGTCTTCTGGGTTTCTCTTTAAGTGGTCTGTTTCCTTTTTGGTTGCCTTTTGGTTCTCCAATTGGCTTCCTGTTTGGTTTGCCACTAAACCAGCCTGAAGAAGATACACTCCAAAAGACACAAACTCAACGAGGATCGAGTTGAATTTGACTTCGACTTCGAGTCGGAGCTTCGCGAAGACTGGTGTATGTTATGTATAGATGTGTGTGTGTGTGTGGGTGACTGTGTGTGTGTTGGTGTGTTCGTATTATTATTATTATTATTATTATTATCATTATTATTATTATTATTATTACTATTGTTGGTATTATCACCATCATGATTATTGTATTTATTGTCTCTATGCAGTTCATTTGTGTATCCAGCTGGTGATTTCTTTGTATGCAGGTCCTTGCTTGTGTCTGATCGCAAGTTCCAGTGGCACCTAGGTGGCCTCCCTGACGCAGACGGTGCATCGCAGGGAGCCAGAGGGGAGCCAACCCGACGGGAGCCCTCCCCCAAACGATACGCGCAGGTCACAGAATTCTGAGGGTCAACTTACATACCCTCAGTGAACATTGAACCTGACGTTCGGGGTAAGGAAAGTGGTGCAAACCAGCACCCCCCCTGTCAGATTCCATGGGAATTGGTGGGAGGGTACCCCAAATGGACATACACCTCTAGGCCTGAAAGAGGATGGATATTGGGGTACCCCATGGAACCCATGTAGAACCACTAATTTTGGGGGTATGTCAGATGGGGATATGCAAGTTTGCCCTTAGAATAATACTGGTAGGGGCTGATAACTTTCTACAAGTTCTGACCAAGTTCAGCTATTCAATTAGTGAAACAGGGGTTGCAGGGCTCAGAGGGGTTGAGCCCAAAGGCTGGTTGAACCCTGTACCAGGTGTTGATTGTGACCCAGTGCCACAGTCAATCTTGAGGTGTGCTAAACCTGATCCTTGTTTTTGGTATGAGGTATGTTCCGACTTATGTGGTACTGTTTGTGTTCTTCGCTTGCTAGCGTGATAGCTTGGCTGGTTGGTTGCATGAATGTGTGCTTGTTTGTTTGTTTGCTTGCTTGCCTGCTTGCCTGCTTGCTTGCTTGCTTGCATGCTTGCTTGCGTGCTTGCGTGCTTGCGTGCTTGCGTGCTTGCGTGCTTGCGTGCTTGCGTGCTTGCGTGCTTGCGTGCTTGCTGGCTTGCTTGCTTGCTTGCTTGCTTGCTTGCTTGCTTGCTTGCTTGCTTGCTTGCTTGCTTGCTTGCTTGCTTGCTTGCTTGCTTGCTTGCTTGCTGGCGTGCTTGCGTGCCTGCGTGCTTGCGTGCTTGCGCGCTTGCGCGCTTGCGCGCTTGCGTGCTTGCGTGCGTGCTTGCGTGCTTGCGTGCTTGCGTGCTTGCGCTTGCGTGCTTGCGTGCTTGCGTGCTTGCGTGCTTGCGTGCTTGCGTGCTTGCGTGCTTGCGTGCTTGCGTGCTTGCGTGCTTGCGTGCTTGCGTGCTTGCGTGCTTGCGTGCTTGCTTGCTTGCTTGCTTGCTTGCTTGCTTGCTTGCTTGCTTGCTTGCTTGCTTGCTTGCTTGCTTGCTTGCTTGCTTGCTTGCTTGCTTGCTTGCTTGCTTGCTTGCTTGCTTGCTTGCTTGCTTGCTTGCTTGGTGGTGTGGGTGTTTTGCATGCCTGCCTGTGACGATTGGGAAGACTTCAGAAATAGTTGAAACTGGCCGCAAAACACCAAAACCGAGGCGTTGCCAGGCGAAATGCAAGAAGACTCAATCCACAGCCTCTCACTGTGTCGCTTAGTCAATGTGTCGTCAGAGACCGTGTCTTCAGCATGACCTTCTTGGAACCTATGCATGTGCCACTTGTCAGGGCAGGGCAAATAGGTCACGCTAGCATTCCACCAGGATGAAATCTTTCGGAAGAGAGGCACCCATGATACATCATTATTGTCAGACTTAATTAGCATGTTTGCCCTTCTCTCCTTTGGGGGTTTCTGTATGTGTGTTTTTTAAACCAGCCAAGGGATTGTCGGATCCGTTGGCCACATCCAACAAAAGATGTTCATGGGGTTCACCCAATGCCTCACCCAACATGAGTGTTTTTTGTTCACATGTTTCAACCAAGCGTTGCCCCACCTCTGATTGAACTCCCGGGGCCCGCCATCGAATTTGAGGCTTGAGCGCGGTGAGCTGTTCGCAGGCAGAGGGGCCGGGGGAGGGGGGGACTGCGACGACACATTCTTGACGGCTATTGCTCTGCACGGCGGCGGTTTCTTTGCTCATCTGCTGGTGTCTTTGTGTGTGATTTTGAAATGCGTAGCCAAATGTCAATAGGTTGTGGTCGACTTGACTCCTTGCAGTGACCTTCCATGTAGGAGGGCTTGTAGGTTTGCTGCAGTTGGACCCCTGGTAGCAGGAAGCATCGAGGCACCTGAACCGTGACGCGTCCGGGGAAGCCAAAACGAGCTTCCCCGCAAGGGTGCCGAACTGCTACACCACCAGGTCCAGTGTGTGTGCGTGACTGTGTGTGACTGTGTGTGTGTGACTGTGTGTGACTGTGTGTGTGACGGTGTGTGTGTGTGTGTGACTGTGTGTGACTGTGTGTGTGACGGTGTGTGACTGTGTGTGACTGTGTGTGACTGTGTGTGTGACGGTGTGTGTGTGTGTGTGACGCTGTGTGTGTGTGTGACTGTGTGTGTGACTGTGTGTGTGTGTGACATTGTGTGACTGCGTGTGACTGTGTGTGACTGTGTGTGACTGTGTGTGACTGTGTGTGTGTCACTGCGTGTGTGACGGTGTGTGTGTGTGACTGTGTGTGACTGTGTGTGACTGTGTGTGACTGTGTGTGACTGTGTGTGACTGTGTGTGACTGTGTGTGACTGTGTGTGTGACGGTGTGTGACTGCGTGTGTGACGGTGTGTGTCTGTGACTGTGTGTGACTGTGTGTGACTGTGTCTGTGACGGTGTGTGTGTGTGTGACTGTGTGTGACTGTGTGTGTGACGGTGTGTGACTGCGTGTGTGACGGTGTGTGTGTGTGTGTGTGACTGTGTGTGTGACTGTGTGTGTGACTGTGTGTGTGACGGTATGTGTGTGACTGTGTGTGTGACGGTGTGTGTGTGTGTGACTGTGTGTGTGACGGCGTGTGTGTGTGTGTGTGTGTGACTGCGTGTGTGACGGTGTGTGTGTGTGTGACGGTGTGTGACTGCGTGTGTGACGGTGTGTGTGTGTGACTGTGTGTGTGACGGTGTGTGTGTGTGTGTGACTGTGTGTGCGACTGTGTGTGCGACTGTGTGTGACTATGTGTGTGACTGTGTGTGACTGTGTGTGTGTGACTGTGTGTGTGTGTGACTGTGTGTGACTGCGTGTGTGACGGTGTGTGTGTGTGTGACTGTGTGTGACTGTGTGTGTGACTGTGTGTGACTGTGTTTGTGACTGTGTTTGTGACTGTGTGTGACGGTGTGTGTGTGTGTGCGACTGTGTGTGACTGTGTGTGACTGTGTGTGACTGTGTGTGACTGTGTGTGTGTGACTGTGTGTGACTGCGTGTGTGACGGTGTGTGTGTGTGTGACTGTGTGTGACTGTGTGTGACTGTGTGTGTGACTGTGTGTGTGTGTGACTGTGTGTGACTATGTGTGTGACTGTGTGTGACTGCGTGTGTGACGGTGTGTGTGTGTGTGTGACTGTGTGTGACTGTGTGTGACTGTGTGTGACTGTGTGTGTGACTGTGTGTGACTGCGTGTGTGACGGTGTGTGTGTGTGTGTGACTGTGTGTGACTGTGTGTGTGACTGTGTGTGTGACTGTGTGTGACTGTGTGTGACGGTGTGTGTGTGTGACTGTGTGTGACTGTGTGTGTGACTGTGTGTGACTGTGTGTGACTGCGTGTGTGACGGTGTGTGTGCGTGACTGCGTGTGACTGAGTGTGTGACTGTGTGTGACTGCGTGTGTGACGGTTTGTGTGTGTGTGACTGTGTGTGTGACGGTGTGTGTGACTGTGTGTGACGGTGTGTGTGTGTGTGTGACGGTGTGTGACTGTGTGAGACTGTGTGTGATTGTGCGTGACTGTGGGTGCGACTGTGCGCGGCTTCGTGTGTGACGGTGTGTGTGTGTGTGTGACTGTGTGTGTGACTGTGTGTGTGACTGTGTGTGAAGCTGTGTGTGGGACTGTGTGTGTGACGGTGTGTGACGGTGTGTGTGTGTGTAACTGTGTGTGACGGTGTGTGTGTGTGACTGTGTGTGACTATGTGTGTGACTGTGTGTGTGACTGTGTGTGACTGTGCGTGACTGTGTGTGTGAAGCTGTGTGTGGCTGTGTGTGACGGTGTCTGACGGTGTGTGTGTGTGTGACTGTGTCTGTGACTGTGTGTGACTATGTGTGTGACTGTGTGTGACTCTGTGTGACTGTGTTTGTGTGACGGTGTGTGACGGTGTGTGACTGCGTGTGTGACGGTGTGTGTGTGTGTGACTGTGTGTGACTGTGTGTGTGTGACGGTGTGTGACTGTGTGTGTGACTGTGTGTGACTGTGTTTGTGACTGTGTGTGACGGTGTGTGTGTGTGTGTGCGACTGTGTGTGACTGTGTGTGTGACTGTGTGTGTGACTGTGTGTGACGGGGGGTGTGTGTGTGACTGTGTGTGACTGTGTGTGACTGTGTGTGACTGTGTGTGTGTGACTGTGTGTGTGACTGTGTGTGTGACTGTGTGTGTGTGACTGTGTGTGACTATGTGTGTGTGACTGTGTGTGTGACTGTGGTGTGTGTGACTGTGTGTGACTGTGTGTGTGTGACTGTGTGTGACTGCGTGTGTGATGGTGTGTGTGTGACTGTGTGTGACTGAGTGTGTGACTGTGTGTGACTGCGTGTGTGACGGTTTGTGTGTGTGTGACTGTGTGTCTAACGGTGCGCGTGGCTGTGTGTGTGTGACGGTGTGTGTGTGTGACGGTGTGTGACTGTGTGTGTGACTGTGTGTGATTGTGCGTGACTGTGGGTGCGACTGTGCGCGGCTTCGTGTGTGACGGTGTGTGTGTGTGACTGTGTGTGACTGTGTGTGTGTGACTGTGTGTGTGACTGTGTGTGACTGTGTGTGTGTGGCTGTGTGTGACTGTGTGTGACGGTGTGTTTGTGTGACTGTGTGTGACTATGTGTGTGACTGTGTGTGTGACTGTGGGTGACTGTGTGTGTGAAGCTGTGTGTGGCTGTGTGTGACGGTGTGTGACGGTGTGTGTGTGTGTGACTGTGTGTGTGTGACTGTGTGTGTGACTGTGTGTGACTGTGTGTGACTGTGTGTGTGATTGTGTGTGACTGCGTGTGTGACGGTGTGTGTGTGTGTGACTGTGTGTGTGACTGTGTGTGTGACGGTGTGTGTGTGTGACTGTGTGTGACTGTGTGTGTGACTGTGTGTGACTGTGTGTGTGTGACTGTGGGTGACTGTGTGTGTGAAGCTGTGTGTGGCTGTGTGTGACGGTGTGTGACGGTGTGTGTGTGTGACTGTGTGTGTGACTGTGTGTGTGACTGTGTGTGTGTGTGTGTGACTGTGTGTGTGACTGTGTGTGACTGTGTGTGACGTGTGTGACGGTGTGTGTGTGTGTGACTGTGTGTGTGACTGTGTGTGTGACGGTGTGTGTGTGTGACTGTGTGTGACTGTGTGTGTGACTGTGTGTGACTGTGTGTGTGTGACTGTGGGTGACTGTGTGTGTGAAGCTGTGTGTGGCTGTGTGTGACGGTGTGTGACGGTGTGTGTGTGTGACTGTGTGTGTGACTGTGTGTGTGACTGTGTGTGTGACTGTGTGTGACGGTTTGTGTGTGTGTGTGACTGTGTGTGTGACTGTGTGTGACTGCGTGTGTGACGGTGTGTGTGTGTGTGACTGTGTGTGTGTGACTGTGTGTGTGACGGTGTGTGTGTGTGACTGTGTGTGACTGTGTGTGACTGTGTGTGCGTGACTGTGTGTGCGACTGTGCGCGACTTCGTGTGTGACGGTGTGTGTGTGTGTGACTGTGTGTGACTGTGTGTAACTGTGTGTGTGACTGTGTGTGACTGTGTGTGACGGTGTGTGTGTGTGTGACTGTGTGTGACTGTGTGTGTGACTGTGTGTGACTGCGTGTGTGACGGTGTGTGTGACGGTGTGTGACGGTGTGTGTGTGTGACTGTGTGTGACTGTGTGTGTGACTGTGTGTGACTCTGTGTGACTCTGTGTGACTGTGTGTGTGACGGTGTGTGACGGTGTGTGACTGCGTGTGTGACGGTGTGTGTGTGTGTGACTGTGTGTGACTGTGTGTGTGACGGTGTGTGACTGTGTGTGACTGTGTGTGTGACTGTGTGTGTGTGACTGCGTGGGTGACGGTGTGTGTGTGTGTGTGACTGTGTGTGACTGTGTGTGTGACGGTGTGTGACTGTGTGTGTGACTGCGTGTGTGTGTGTGTGTGTGACTGTGTGTGACTCTGTGTGTGTGACTGTGTTTGTGACTGTGTGTGACTGCGTGTGCGTGTGTGTGTGTGTGACTGTGTGTGTGTGACCGTGTGTGACTGCGTGTGCGTGTGTGTGTGTGACTGTGTGTGACTGTGTGTGTGTGTGACGGGGTGTGTGACGGTGTGTGTGTGTGTGACTGTGTGTGTGGCTGTGTGTGTGACTGTGTGTGTGACTGTGTGTGTGACTGCGTGTGTGACGGTGTGTGTGTGATGTGTGTGTGTGTGACTGTGTGTGTGACTCTGTGTGTGTGTGACTGTGTGTGTGTTATGGTGTGTGTGTGACTGTGTGTGTGTGACTGTGTGTGACTGTGTGTGACTGTGTGTGTGACTGTGTGTGTGACTGTGTTTGTGACTGTGTGTGACTGCGTGTGCGTGTGTGTGTGTGACTGTGTGTGTGACTGTGTGTGTGACTGTGTATGTGTGACTGTGTGTGTGTCTCTGTGTGTGTGACTGAGTGTGTGACTGTGTGTGTGACTGTGTGTGTGACTGTGTGTGGACTGTGTGTGTGACTGTGTGTGTGACCGTGTGTGCGGCTGTGTGTGACGTGGCTGTGTGTGTGACGTGACTGTGTGTGTATGCGTGACGTGACTGTGTGTGTGTGACGTGACTCTGTGTGTGTGTGACGTGACTGTGTGTGTGACGTGACTGTGTGTGTGTGACGTGACTGTGTGTGTGTGTGACTGTGTGTGGCTGTGTGTGACTGTGTGTGGCTGTGTGTGACTGTGTGTGTGTGACTGTGTGTGTATGTGACTGTGTGACTCTGTGTGTGACTGTGTGTGTATGTGACTGTGTGTGACTCTGTGTGTGACTGTGTGTGTGTGTGTGTGACTGTGTGTGGCTGTGTGTGACTGCGTGTGGCTGTGTGTGACTGCGTGTGTGTGTGTGTGTGACTGTGTGTGTGTGTGACTGTGTGTGACTCTGTGTGTGACTGTGTGTGTGTGACTGTGTGTGACTGTGTGTGGCTGTGTGTGTGTGTGACTGTGTGTGTGACTGTGTGTGTGACTGTGTGTGTTTTTGCTTCAAGTCTATCGAACAAGCTTGAGTAGTCAGAAGAATCCCCAAACCATAGCACAAGGGATTTGGCTGATGTTGAAGTTTCCTGGCGCTTGCTGAGACTCGAACATTCCCTGGCCGGTTCTCAGGTTCGGTGCAGCTGCCCAGAACTGAAGCAGGCGGGCGGGAACGGAGTGGGATTTCTGTTGATCGCGAGTTTTAAGCAGCTTTGAGGTTTGCCAAACAATCACATTTGGTTGATCGCGAGTTTACGCAGCTTTGAGGTTTGCCAAGCAAAAACATTGGGTTCAGCGCGAGTTTACGCAGCTTTGAGGTTTACCAATCAAAAACATGGGTTCAGCGCGAGTTTACGCAGCTTTGAGGTTTACCAAACAACAAACATTTGGCTGATCGTGAGTTTACGCAACTTTGAGGTTTACAAAGCAAAAGCATTTCAACAGAAGTTGAATAGTTCAACAACTGAAGTGGTGAGCGACGATTTTGAGGTGTACGAATTGTCGAGGCTCACCACTTCCCCGGATTTACCATGTCGCCCGCGAGACGCGATCATGTCCAAAGCGCAGGCCAGCCGCACATCCATTCCCAACCAGCGTTACAGTTTTTTCCCCACTCTCAGGGGCTGCTCCAAGCTTCGGAAGCAAATGACCAAACCACAAACAATCCAGCCCTCGGTTTCTTTCGACGGACTGACTTTCTTTAATCAAGATCCACTTGGCTGTTGAGATGGCCGTTTTGAAGCCAATGGGAGGTTCTGAGATGAGTGACCCGCGTTTGTGGATGGTTTTAAAGACCCGGTTGCGGAGCTGTTCAGTACCCTTTCAGCCCATTTGGGTGGGAAACCCCAAACATGTCTTGAATTCAAGGATCGAATTGGAGCACTGACTTCCCTTTTCGGAAAAGCTGATCGGCGAATTGCGTCCAGATCCTGGGCCTTACCTTGCAAGAGCTGGAGAAGCTGAGCAGGCCGCGTTTGCCTTGGACTACCTAGGTCCCCCAGCTAGGTGCCCGCTCTTTTGCTTTTTTTGGGGGTTGGGAGGGTTCAACCCTACCAAAATAGAGAACAGAAAGAAGATCGGGCACCCTTATTCTAACCTCTCTACTGGAGGACCTATTCTAAGGAACCGCCGTGGACATAAAACTTCTCTCCATGTCTCCACTAACAAAATCCGGGATCCATGAAGATGGAACCCTCAAAAATTGGTGGGTGTTCCTTGAGTGGTCCGAAGAACAGCCCCCCAAAGGGGTGCCAACGTCCTTTTGCTGAATTGCGGTTTTGCATGTTAAGGTTCCTTGAATATGGACCAGAAGCATGTGTTTGTTTTGGTTTGTGGGGAAGCTGAGGTAGCTAAGGCATTGTTTGCTTTCATTTGGTATCGTATCCTTCTCAGGTTTGTTCAAAAGGAGAAGGACACTCACCATTTTGGGGAGTCTCCCTTTCTAAGACATGCATATTTGTTGAAGATGATTGTTGTATGTCTCCTTTGGGTTGGTTTGAAAAGGAAGCGGCATGACTGTGAAAAAGGTCTGATTGGCTCCAGAGCACGCAAACCTGTTCGTCCCTTTGGCGCGTGACCTTTGACCTCATCCAAGAACATGAGTGTTCTTAAATTATCCTAAGACTGCTCGCCGCCAATCTAGGTTGATCCTCAGCCATTCAGTTCAACCATTGCTCTTTCAAACACCCAGCAATGTTCCCTGATGCTCGGTTGATTCTTTGGAAAGGATGCTCGCTGCAATGAGGTGTTGCAGGGTTACCCCAGGACTCTAAGCCGAGGGGTGTGGAGAGAATTATAATTTTTCTGGCGCTGTATCTTGCCATAGACCTGAGAGTCTTACTTTGAACCCAAGAGATTGGCGCACAGGACATGCAGTTCATCAAGCGGCAGTTCGAGTTTGCTTTCCGGACAGCTGAAACATCGGACACCTCCCACCTGGTTTGGCAGCAATAGGTACCCCACCCGAACCCGAACCCGAACCCCCCCTCAAAAGACAAATGAAGCCCGAACCCGAACCCCAGGCGGAGGTTTGGTTGCGGGTTAGCCGGGGTACACTCTGTTTGGCACGAAAAGGAAGGCAGCCACTCGCGCCAGGAGGGTCAACGAGGCTTGGGATCGCTCTGCCGCCAGCCCCGGCTCGCTTGAGAGTCGATCTTGCAGAGGTTGGAATGAGGAGGGCGATGTGTTTCGGCTTGCTCATTCTAGGTCCCGCAGCTAGGTGCCCTTTCTCACCCCTTTTTTGGTTGGGAGGGTTCCCCTAAAATAGACTACAGACAAAAGTTGGGACCCTTATTCTAACCTCTCTACTGGAGGACCTAGCACTAGATCGTTGCTTTTTGGGGGGCCATATGCTGGCCAGGGTTTCGGCAGCCAGCCATGTGCCCGGCCATGAACATGTAAATAAACAAATAAATTTAGGAAAAGAAAAAACACAAAACGATGTGTCCGTGCCTTCCAATCTGCCAGGCCAGCTCTATCAAGCAGATCCAAGAGTTGCCACTTGGAACAAGTGATGTGTGTTTGGGGAAGCCGCCTTTGTGTTGTTGCTCTCGACAGGGAAGCCGAAGTTTTCAAAAAGATGCCAACCATTTGGGGGTCCCCAGATTTTTGAGACAAACCCAAATGTCAACTTCTGATTTTGGAGAAATCCTCCTGAAATTAAACTCAACCCTCATGACTGGCTGATTCATAGGAGGGTGCATCCCGTAATCAAGGGTTGGTCTTCAGTTCATTTGGGACCAACACAGGGAGACACGTTTCCCCTTGTGTATTAGGGTCAACGCATATCTCGCTGTGGATCGTTTGCAACAGGCACTCTTGCCGCGTGAGGCCTTCAGGTCTTTTCCTGGACTTCTGAATCATAGACTGCCCTCAATGCACAAGGATGTCGCAGTTCATGTAGCCGGCCGTCCCAAGGACCAACGGATGGAACGTTGGTGAACGGTTTACCTTGATTTTGTTGTAGGGGCCAAACTCTTTCTGTCGCCCCCAGGCCTCAATGAGTTTCATACGGCGCGCGTTGGTACTCTCAAAGTCCGCCAAACAGGAAACAGTGGTCTAGTGGGAACTCCCCACTTAACTGCTAAATTTATCATTTGTTGCTCCCCTTCCAACGTCAACCAAGGATTTTTCTAGGGGCCAAATTTCTGCTGGGGTCGACTGGGAGCGGTTGAACAGGCCCAAATGGCTAGCGGCTCGTCGCTGAGGCAACACCTCACTGCCTGTCTGCCGCGAGGCGGCGCCTCCGAAGACGCAGACGTTGCACGTGTTTGGTTGCCAACCACGGCTTTCATTTGCTGAAAAGAATATCTTTGTTAATTTCCCTTGTTGGCTGGGAATATATCTAGGTCCCCCAGCTAGGTGCCCTTTCTCACCCCTTTTTTGGTTGGGCGGGTTCCAAGATAGACTACAGAAAAAGTGGGTATCCTTATTCTATCCTCTCTACTGGAGGACCTAGATACGAATGCTACTCTATCTCACGGGCTTCCTTCAGAGGCAATGAACACTTGGCAGTTATTCGATCTAAAGTTGACGACGACGTTTGTTAGAACCTCGGTGGCTGAGCGGGGGCTTGATGAGGTCGGTTTGTGGACCGCCCCCCAAAAACCAAAAGGCTGATGGACTGCCCCCCAATAAACCGGTTGCACTGTGGACCCCCATGAGGTTGGTGTCAAGACCCCGAGTATTGACCAAAGGGCGTGTGCGGTGGATGGCGTTGGGTGGTCCGGGAATCTAAACGGGTTCCCTTTTGTCCAATGGCCACAGGGCAATCCAGATTTTGCCAGGAAGCGGGCCGCCAACATCACTAAGGATCCCTTGAAATGATGTTGTGAGTGGGTGCTTGAACAAAAAGTAGCTAGTTGCCGTGTAGCAATGGTCGGGTGGTTGCCAATCCTCGGTGGTCATTACAACTTAAGCAGCGCTAAAAACCGCTGGCTGGGCTCTACTTCTACTCCCCAGTTCAGTGGGGATCTGGTTAGGCCCGATAGAACCTTCACAGCCATCTTGGTAGAGCTAAACGTCAGCGATAATCGGGCACTCAATCCGGCGCTCCGTGTTGCCTTGCTGGTTTAGTTTCCCACCAAGGCCAACGAAAGACGGATCCTTTCCCCATTGTTCGAATTTAGATAGATCCAAAGTGCCTTGCGTGTCAAAAGGCATTGACGGGAACCTTAGACTAAGTTGCCAAAGCGAGCGGAGCATACCTTCCCATCTTGATTTGGCTCGGTATATTTTTGGTTTCGATTCCCTAGCCCCTTCACCCAAGGACTGCTACAGACCTAAGGTTGGCCAAAGAGCTGCAGCCGGTTCTTTCGGCGGAGGTTTGGATCCAAAATTCAGAGATAGGCTGATTGCGTCGGGTTCAACCCCATGTACATCCTCCCAAAGAGAAGGCGCCCTCGCTTTCAAAGAACTTTGGGAAGCAAGGCCAGGAGGAACATCAGGCAATGTGTGCAAGCTGCGGAGCTTTTGCCCGGGCTCAGCATCCCAATTTGCAAGACATGGGATGCTGAAAGGAGCCTAGATCCCCCAGTAGTGCCCTTTCTCACCCCTTTTTTGGTTGGGAGGGTTCCCCTACTAACATAGGCTACAGAACAAAAAACCGAGTACTACCCCGGCTCCACAGCTATCGAGCCAAGAGCCGAAACGACTTTCGTCTTGGTTGCATGGCGCGTCCTTTTCTTGCAGTACCGTTTTGTTGGGTTGGTTTAAAGGGACACCACATGGCTGTGGGTCAAGAATAGGTACGCCAAATGGCACCTTGGTAAATGCGGTAAATGGACACAATGACTAAAACCTGTGGTCTGGTGGTTTAATTTTGGTCCATATCCAGTTTCGGGTGCCATGCGCTAAAGCCGCCAAAACGCTCTGCCGTGAAGCCCTCAGCCATGCCGGTGGGCCCCTTGGGCGATGCCGCCGACCCCAACGACCCGGGACCCTGCGCGTCAAGCGGCATCAAGGACCACTACACCTGCTTCAAGGCCGAGTTCAGCCGAATCCAGCCTCGTCCATTTGGTTTGGGCATATTTTTAACCAGAACACCTCCAAAATGCTTGGTGAACATAAAAAAAGACCCTCCAGAAATTTCCGTAATTAAACTGCATGCCAAGGTGAATTCACCCATTCATTTTCCACCAGGCAACCCTTACGGGTCATGAAGACGCCTGGACCCAGGCCAGTGGTGCCTTCTTGTGCGACTAAGTCGGCCCTCTGAAGGCGACTGGCGCACAGGAAAGTTGACATGCGGAGACTCACTAGACAGAAACACAGGGCGCTTTTCGTGTTTTCCGCGCCCTTTCGGGACTTCCAGATGCTGAAATTAATATGCATTATATTCCCCCGTTGGTTTTGAAGGGAATCTATCACTACCGGAAATATGGTTTTATTGGTCCAGGAGGCTTAAGCAAAAGGAAGGTTCCCCTGAAATATGCATTTTCGCAGAGAATCACCTCCGAAATGGTAAGTGGATGTAAAATCCCTTCCAAGGAAGTTTCATGCCCATATGGCTGTTTGTCAAAACCAATGGTACCATTTTGGGGTAGGTGAATTCACCACCCATTTTAGAACCTATGTTAGTGGTTGGATTGGGATGTTCACTGGGGGTACGATTTGGCTTTTGCTTTTGACCCATGGCCATATGGATCAACCCTTTCTTAAGCACATCTAGGTCCCCCAGTAGTGCCCTTTCTCACCCCTTTTTTGGGAAGGTTCCCCTACTAGACCAGACTACAGAAAAAAGAAACTAAAGTTTATGCCGATATGGATTAACCTTTTTTTAAGCAGCTGCCATCGATGGCATCCTGGCTTCAGGTGGCGAGACCCCAGCGGGGAGTCCTGGAGGTGATCCTTGATCGGCGCCTTGGAGCAAAAACTAGACCACGGTGGCCCGAAAGCAGAACATCGCAAGCGAGGTCGGCCCAACGCTGCATCCCTACACGAAGCATTTGTGAAGCAAGCGCGAGACAGCACCAGGCAAGGTGCTCTGCGCAAACTGGTCGGTGCAAGTTGGTCTGCGCAAGTTGCTCTACGCAAGTTGCACTGTGCAAGTTGCTCTGCGCAAGTTGCTCCGCGCAAGTTGCTCCGGCAAGTTGGTCCCTGCAAGTGGCTCCCTGCAAGTTGCTCTGTGCAAATTGCGCTCCCTGCAAGTTGCTCTGTGCAAGCTGCTCTGTGCAAGTTGCTCTGTGCAAGTTGCTCTGCGTAAGTTGCTCTGCGCAAGTTGCTCTAGGCAAGGCGCTCTGCGCAAACTGGTCGGTGCAAGTTGGTCTGCGCAAGTTGCTCTGTGCAACTTGCTCTGCGCAAGTTGCTCTGCGCAAGTTGCTTTAAAATGCAAGTTGCATCTTGCGACGCCCGCCCGCGGACCAGGGAGGAATCGAACCCGCGACCCGCCGGTTCCGGGAGCAGGCGCGCGAACCACGAGACAACTCCCGAGGACCAGTTCGAACAACAAAAGTCGCAAAAAACCTCGAGTTTTTGCACCTCGACCACGCCGATCCCCGCAGAGGGTTGCGCGAGCACCGCAGAAATCGCAAAAAACCATGGGTTTTTGCACCTCGACCACGCCGATCCCCGCAGAGGGTCGCGCGAGCACCGCAGAAATCGCAAAAAACCATGGGTTTTTGCACCTCGACCACGCCGATCCCCGCAGAGGGTCGCGCGAGCATGTTGGAAATCGCAAAAAACCATGGGTTTTTGCACCTCGACCACGCCGATCCCCGCAGAGGGTCGCGCGAGCATGTTGGAAATCGCAAAAAAACCATGGGTTTTTGCACCTCGACCACGCCGATCCCCGCAGAGGGTCGATTTTCGTGTAGTGTCGTCGGCACTACCCCGCCGCCCTAAGAAGAGATTTTAACTCCTCGCAAGTCAATTGCACTTGACTCCTTGCACTTGCAACTTGCACTCGACTCCTTACACTTGCAACTTGCACTTGACTCCATGCACTTGCAACTTGCACCTGACTCCTTGCACTTGCAACTTGCACTTGACTCCTTGCACTTGCAACTTGCACTTGACTCCATGCGCAGCTCGCAATGACTCTCATGACTCCTTGCAATGACTCCTTGCAATGACTCCTTGCAATGACTCCTTGCAATGACTCCTTGCAATGACTCCTTGCAATGACTCCTTGCAATGACTCCTTGCAATGACTCCTTGCAATGACTCCTTGCAATGACTCCTTGCAATGACTCCTTGCAATGACTCCTTGCAATGACTCCTTGCAATGACTCCTTGCAATGACTCCTTGCAATGACTCCTTGCAATGACTCCTTGCAATGACTCCTTGCAATGACTCCTTGCAATGACTCCTTGCAATGACTCCTTGCAATTGACTTTCATGATGATGATTCCTTGCAATGACACCTTGTAATGACTCTCATGAGAACAACTCAAGTGAACCCAGCGGAAGAACCCTTCGCCATGCTTTCGGGAAAAGTCGTCCAGCAGGTGGTTTTCAAAGAAGCAGGCGGGCTCGAACCTTGGCTCCCAGCCCTTAGCTGTTTCTCACTTCCTGAGTTCATGAACTTTAAACTCTTTGGGAAGACCATGTTAGTGGTAAATATAAAGTTTGGACTTTGTTGGGGTCCACTCAGCAAGTAGGTGTTTAGCTTTTTAGTTGGTTTAGTGGGGCTTTTCCATTCACCCACGACCAGTTCAACTTTTAGCAGGGGATCTGAGGGCAGCCCAGGAAATACTTGATTGTGTATTGCGTGTTTCAACTTCATGGCTGTTCATATTGACCATTTTGACGATTTGTGCCTGTGTGGTTTTATTTGCTTGTTCGGGTTGGTTGCGGTGTGCTTTGTTGTGTAGTGTGGTTTTGTTTGTTTGTTTGTTTGTTTGTTTGTTTGTTTGTTTGTTTGTTTGTTTGTTTGTTTTTTTGTTTGTCTGGCTGTTTGTTCGTTTGTCTGTTTGTTTGGCTGTTTGTCTGGCTGTTTGTCCGTCCTTCTGTCTGTTTGCTTGCTTGCGTGTTTCTGGGTTTGCTTGTGTGTGTGTGTGTTTGTTTGGTTGCTTGCGTGTGTGTGTGTGTGTGTGTTTGCTTGCTTGCTTGCTTGCTTGCTTGCTTGCTTGCTTGCTTGCTTGCTTGCTTGCTTGCTTGCTTGCTTGCTTGCTTGCTTGCTTGCTTGCTTGCTTGCTTGCTTGCTTGCTTGCTTGCTTGCTTGATTTGTTGTTTATTCTATTTGTATTTTTGTGCGTGTGTTTGTTTGTATTTTTGTGTGTGTGTTTTGTTTGTTT